TTTGTCTCCACTAATACTAGCAGTGAATATTTTAGCAGCCGATTGCCACGTCATTAGTCTTGTACTGACTTGTTTGGTGTGCGCAACAGGAAATATTTAGCTTTTGGAGAACAAGAAAAATAGGTTAATTTGCGTTATGCTTATTTGTGTAGTTATTCAGTGTCTGGTAAGTTAATGTTCAAGAAAAATATTAATTTTTATTAAAATGTTCTATTATTTTATGTTAAATATTGCTCATTTATTTCAGCCTTTTGTATTCAGCATGTCTCTATTGAAATAAACCTACTTTTCTATGAAAATTGAAGCTTTTGTTTTTGTGTGGCCTACATAAACAAACCTTGTTTATTTGGCCCATGTTAGCCTTTGAGTTTGACATGCTTGTACTACAGAATAAATATTTCCCCTGAGCAAAGGGTGTACTCTGTGACTGGTCCCTGGTCAGGACAAAGGGGGTACCCCATGAAGGTCCAAGGTTGCCATTACCAGGAGGGTAAAACAAAAAAGACAGTGGGTTCCACCAGTCAACCCCACACCCGCACATTGCCACTACACTGATGGCAGTCAGAGACGCGGCAGGAGTCAACATTGGGATTTCACACAACTAAAGAACTTGTGATTCAGTGCCACTTACTGGAAAATAAGAGAAAGACCTCTTCATAGTAATCTAGAGATGTACCACTAATACATAGATGCTTAGATAGAGAAGGAATCCCTCAAATACCATGAATAACCAAGGTAGCAAGGCAGCTCAGAAAGAAAAATAAAAAATCTCCAGAAAGCATAGTTAAACACATGGAAATATGATATAGAAATGACCGAATTCAAGGTTGCAGTTCTGAAAATATACAGGCAATTTAATGAACTCAGAAAACAAATTAATAAAATGTGTACTTTACCAAAAAGGTTGAAACCTTTAAGAAGAAACCGGCCTGGCCAGTTGCTCAGTGCTTACAGAATTGGCCCATGCACCGAAAGGTCGCAGATTTGATTCCCGGTCAAGGGCACATACCTTGGTTGCAGGCTCGATCCCTGGCCCGGTAGGGGTGCATGTAGGAGGCAACTAATGTGTCTCCCTTCCATCAACATTTCTCTCCTCCCCCCTCCCTTCCACTCTCTCTAAAAGCATTGAAGAAAATATCCTCGAATAAGGATTAGAAAAAAGAAAAACATTCTGGAGATTAAGAACTCAGAGCAAGAGTAAACTAGAGAGCATAGGAAATAGAACTGACCAAATGGAGGAAAGAATTAGTGATATCAAAGATAGAAATCTAGAAATGATGCAGAGGGAAGAAGAGAGAGATCTGAGGAATAAAATAAAATGAAAGAAATCTATAAGAACTATCTGGCTCTATCAGAAAAAGCAATATAAGAATTAGAAGAAAAGAGGGAAAAGGGAACAGAGGGGTTATTTGAGCAAATAGTTGATGAGAACTTACTAAACCTATGGAAAGAGCTCAATCCTCAAATCCAAGAAGCAAACAGAATAACTAGTTACCTCAATCCAGAGACCTTCTTCAAGGCATATTGTATTAAAACTGTCAAAAACTAATGGCAAAGAAAGAATTCTCAAGGCAGCCAAGAAAAAGAAGAAAGTAACCAATAATGGAAAGCCCATTAGATTATCATCAGACTTATCAGCACAAACTCTACAAGCCAGAAGAGAGTGCAACCAAATATTCAAACTATTGAGAGAAATTACCAGCCAAGAATAATATGTCCAGCAAAGTTATCCTTTAAATATGAAGGAGAAATAAAGAATTTTCCAGATATACAGGAACTGAGGGAATTTATAACCAGAAAACCTCCATTGCAGGAAATATTCAAAGGGGTTATTCTAATGAAACAAAGACAAAAGGTCACAAAACTATGAATAAGATCAACAGCAAACTTAAAGCATAAACAGGGATAATTTGTGGTAACAAAAACAAAAGGGGAGGGGATAAAGATCCGAATTTTGCAAAGGAGGATGGAGATCAGATGCATTAAAATGAAAAAAGACTACAGTATACATGAAGCTTTCTTTTTCATAAACCTAATGGTAAACACACACAAAAAGCACAAATTGAGACATATAACTTCCAAAGGAGGAAACAGGAAAGAAGTATGGAATAACAGCAAACAAAAACAAAAGACAGAAACACAAAGGAAAAGAACAAATGGAGGCAAAGCCACCAGAACACAAAAGGCAAAAGGAAATCCTCATAAATCAATAATTATCCTAAATATAAATGGACTAAATTCACCAATAAAGAGGCACAATGTAGCAATCTAATTAAAAAAAAAACAACCCCAAATATATGCTGTCTTCAGGAGACACATCTAAGCTGCAAAGACAAAGTTAGACTCAAAGTGAAAGGGTGGAAAATGATTCTCCAAGCAAATAACATCCATAGAAAAGGAAGTGTAGCCATACTTATGTCTGACAAAATAGATTTCAAAATAACAAAAGACAAAAATGGACATCTTATAATGATAAAGGGGACACCACATCAAGAAGACAACCAAACCATCAACAAAATGAAAAGGGGGCCCACTGTATGGGAGAACATATTTGGCAATGATACATCTGATAAAATTTAATATCCAAACTATATAAGGAACTCATACAACTTAAAAGGAAGATAAACAATTTAATTTAAAAATGGGCAAAGGACCTAAATAGGCAATTTTCCAAAGCAAACATAGATGGCCAAGAGACAGATGAAAAAATGCTCAAAGTAGCTGGTTATCAGAGAGATGCAAATTAAAACAGTATCACCTACACTGGTCAGAATGGCTATCATCAACAAATGACAAGTGCTGGTGAGGATGTGGAGAAAAAGGAACCCTAGTACACTGCTGGTAGGAATGCAAACTGGTACAGCCATTATGGAAAACAGTATGGAGTTTCCTCAAAAAATTAAATATGGAACTGCCATTTGACCCAGTGATCCCACTTCTAGGAATATTGTCTAAAAAACCTGAAACACCAATCAGAAAGAATGTATGTGCCCCTATGTTCATAGCAGCACAATTTAAAATAGCTAATATTTGGAAAAAGCCCAAGTGCCCATCAGTAGATGAGTGGATAAAAAAGCTGTGGTACATTTACATCACTATGCAGCAGTAAAAAAGAAGGATCTCTTACTCTTTGAGACAGCATAGAGCAGTGATGGCGAACCTTTTGAGCTCGGCGTGTCAGCATTTTGAAAACCCTAACAACTCTGGTGCCGTGTCACATATAGAAATTTTTTGATATTTGCAACCATAGTAAAACAAAGACTTATATTTTTGATATTTATTTTATATATTTAAATGCCATTTAACAAAGAAAAATCAACCAAAAAAAATGAGTTCGTGTGTCACCTCTGACACGCGTGTCATAGGTTCGCCATCACTGAACTAGACCAACACATTGGTTGGAGGAGGCAAAATGTGGGTTCAGGTGAAATCGTGTTGAGCCAGTTATTAATTGCATTCATAACCATTATAAACTTTTGAACAATAATAGATACAGAGGCAGAGTTGCCTCGAACAGACTGTCAAACTACAGCAGGAAGGCCGGGGAGGTTGGGGGGGAAGAGATCAACCAAAGAACTTGTATGCATATATATACAACCCATGGGCACAGACAATAAGGTGGTGAAGGCCTGGGGTGAGGGGTGGGGGTAGCTAGAAAGAATTAATGGGGGGAAAGGCAGGACATATGTAATACTTTCAATAATAAAGATTTAATTAAAAAGAAAAATAACAACAAAAAAGGACATAACACTTCTTAATATACACTGAGTGGCCAGATTATTATGACCACCTGACATTTGTAGGCAATTAGCTATAATTTCCTGCTGAAGTTGCTAGAGGACCAGATCATTATAAATGTCTGAATAGCACAACATGTTCAAAGGCTGTTAAATCACGTTGTTTACCCATATCTTCAGAAAAAAATCACTTCTACTGTTGTGGTAAACAACCTGCTTCCCTATTTATAATGGTCTGGCCCTCTTGCAACTTCAGCACGAAATTATAGAATTTGCCTACAAACGTCAGATGGTCATAATAATCTGGCCACTCAGTGTGTGTGTCCCACGTTCAAAGGCTGTTAAATCACGTTGTTTACCCATATCTTCAGAAAAAAATCACTTCTACTGTTGTGGTAAACAACCTGCTTCCCTATTTATAATGGTCTGGCCCTCTTGCAACTTCAGCACGAAATTATAGAATTTGCCTACAAACGTCAGATGGTCATAATAATCTGGCCACTCAGTGTGTGTGTCCCACGTTCAAAGGCTGTTAAATCACGTTGTTTACCCATATCTTCAGAAAAAAATCACTTCTACTGTTGTGGTAAACAACCTGCTTCCCTATTTATAATGGTCTGGCCCTCTTGCAACTTCAGCACGAAATTATAGAATTTGCCTACAAACGTCAGATGGTCATAATAATCTGGCCACTCAGTGTATAGGATATAGGCATATTAATTAAACCAATTTTCAGGAAAGCCTGTCTCTCATCAAATACTATGAAAGAAGATGACTAAGCAGAGCTCAGAGTAGTCCCACTATGTGCTTGATAACTGGCTCTGATTTAAGGAGAATGGGAAGAGATGAAGTGGGTCAATCATCTACTCAAGTCACAGAGAAATACATCCTTAATGGGAGGTAATTTTATAAAGTCCCATGAAGGCTATGCTTCCCAATGTGGCTATTAACTATACTGAAGAGACATAAGACAGAAGTAGATCTGATTGAAAAAATAAGACCTACCCTGTCCTATTCCCCTAATGAGATGCCCTCCCTGTGGCTGACACAGAAAGGATACTTTGTCAATCAAGAGAAAGGGACTCTGATGCTGAGTGAGATGCTACACCAAGGACAAATAATCAGGAAGGGACTTTGACAACAACCTAAGATTCAAAAGAAATTGATGAAGAAAACAAATTATATACCACCAAAATGAATTGTTTCCAAGCTACTCTCAGATAACCTATTTGTACCTGGAAGTTAAGGTCAGTTCTTTAATAGAGATGTCATTGTGATATTTTGATAATATGAAGAATTATTTATAATATGGCTGACATGATAAGAATGCCACTACCTGGAGTCTTGAAAGAATCCACCTGTTCAAATCATTAACACGTCCACGGCTCACTGCTGCAGAGCTGTATCCATGTATCCCAAATACAAAAACAACAGTTATCAAGGAAATGGATTTTTAAGTGCAGAAATGGTAAAACTAAAATTATATATCACTTAAAGTGTCATAAAAAGCCTGCTTTTATATTGCTTTTCTTCAACACATGAAATTACTGAATCTCTTGTTAAATGCTAGCTAGCATTTACTTTGGAAATGCATGAGGATTTTGCAAATAAATTACATATATCAAGTTCCCATTCTAGCTGGTCAACTTTCTATTTAAAAAGTACCATAACTAAACCATTTTAAGCCCTCCTAAAACTGGGTAGTTGTAGTATACTATATCCTTCTTAAAGACAAGGTCTATAGCTCAATCATTTTTGTTCTTCCCCATTGCTGAAGATTCAAGGGGTATTTTTTAAGTGGCTTTTTAATACAATCAAATTTTGGAAGAGCCCAAGAATCTGGAAATTAAGGCTGTCTAAAATGAGGTTTTATCTGTAGTACTCCTTCAAATAATGTTTACGATTTTTTTTTATGACAGATGAACAATACAACTGAAATGGGGAAGTTAAATTACATTTAGGAAGCAAGTCGGGAAGAAAACCTTATACATACAGTCTTCAATGTTTAGGCTGAAAACAGGTAATAACAGCAATTTCCTTTGTACTTAGTAAACGTACTCATCTACTGAGATATTTTCCCTGCATTTCTTTTTTTAAAATATATTTTTATTGATTTCAGAGAAGAAGAAAGAGAGAGAGAGAGAGAGAGAAACATCAATGATGAGAGAGAATCATTGATCAGCTGCCTCCTGCAAACCCCCCACTGGGGATCGAGCCCACAACCTGGGCATGTGCCCTTGACCGGAATCGAACCTGGGACCTTTCAGTTCGCAGGCTGACGCTCTATCCACTGAGCCAAACCGGCTAGGGCTCCCTGCATTTCTTTAGGAAAAGCCACACCAAGTCTTCAAGGAGACTTGCTCACAATCATGAAGGCTGCTGAGCAGTTTTCAACAGGGTTAGGGGTATATGGGATCCTCTTACCTCACTGTAGGAGGAGTGAAAAGAAAAACAAGCTCTGTATGAACTCTCTCCAGTCCTAAAGGGAAATGAAAACACAGAATTAAAAGGCCACTTATCAAAACTAAGCTAAGTTCTTAATTTCAAGCTTTTCCATTAGGCTATTCCAGGAAAAATAAGTTATAATTAAGAACTTTAAACAATAAAATAAAATTTTTTTAAAAAATATATTTTACTGATTTTTTACAGAGAGGAAGGGAGAGGGATAGAGAGTTAGAAACATCGATGCGAGAGAAACATCGATCAGCTGCCTCCTGCACATCTCCCACTGGGGATGTGCCCGCAACCCAGGTACATGCCCTTGACCGGAATCGAACCCGGGACCCTTGAGTCCGCAGGCCGACGCTCTATCCACTGAGCCAAACCGGTTTCGGCAATAAAATAAAATTTAAAAAAAATTTTAAAAAAAGAATTTATTCCTGGAACACAAAGGGACTCTTTCCAGAAATATATCTGTAGACATTCTGAACAGCTAATATTAAGGAAATGTTGCCCCAAAATGATGACCATTATGGTACTCCTGTATTTCACTAAGGACTCTGTTTCCTCTGATATCAATCCATTACCACCTCCTTGCCAAGCAAGATATTCTCAGTTTCTAACCATCTTATCTACCCAACTAGCTGGGCCTCAGGAAATACTGACTGATGGTATTAGCCATGAGACAGGTTTGGAATCAGCTTCTCTTTAGTTTAAATTTCAGAAGTTATTTTCCACAATTATAACATATCCTCTTCTTAGGCTTACGCTAGATTGCATTTAAACTAAAATCAATCAGACAATTTACCTCAAAGCAGGATTTCTCTCAGAAGACATATGACAGTGCTTTCTTACCTCACAATTACATTTGTTTTTCTGGTTCTTTCTCCAAACCACATTGTGGATGGCTTAATGCTGATTGTGTGGAGCGAAATTCTATTTTTGGAAGTAATTCCACAGGGTAACTTATTCCATTGAAAATATTCCTCTGCCTAAAAAAATAAAAAATAAAATAAAGAGACCAAGATGGCGGCATAGGTAAACACCGGAGATTGCTGCCACAAACAACCACTTCAAAAATACAACTAAAAGACGGAACGGACATCACCCAGAACCACAGGAAGGCTGGCTGAGGAGAGATTCTTCAACTAGAAGGAAAGAGAACAGCATACCGAGGCTCAGAGGAGGCGCAGTGTGGAAAATACAAAGGTAC